CCCAAGCGGAATATGAGTTGCTGTTCCTGCAACTCATATTCCGCTTGGGAACCCTGCAGCCCAATGGTATCAATGTGGATTTCACAAGTTTCAAAATCTCCCCTCCCCCTACCGCATCCCAAAACCAGCCCAGCTTGTCCCCGCCTCCCTAACCTGTCCTTCCTCCCACCTATTCCCTCCTCCCACCTCAAGCCCGACCCCCATCTCCTACCTACTAACCTCATCCCGTCCCCTTGGCCTGTCCGTCCTCCCTGGACTGACCTATCTCTTCCCTAACTCCCCACCTACACTCACATTTACTGGCTCCATCCCCGCCTCTTTGACCTGTCTGTTTCCGCTCCACCTATCTTCTCCTCTATCCATCTTCAATCCACCTCGCCCTCTCTCCCTATTTACTTCAGAACCCCCTTCCCCTCCCCCATTTCTGATGAAGGGTCTCGGCCCGCAACGTCAGCCTTCCTGCTCCTATGATGCTGCTTGGCCTGCTGTGTTCATCCAGCTCTACACCTTGTTATGTTAGAAAGAAGATGCAAGTTTTGATTGATTAAGATCCAAATTCCAGAACCTGTTTCAAGTCACTGCCCTGAGATAATTAAAGATTTTTATAAGTGTCTGCCTAACTTTCCAAACTTCCATCAGGCAGAGGTACAACAGGTGACATCTCAGGTCAGTCACTAAGTTGTAGGTGTGAGGCCTCGTTCTGAATCTGTCTCTGAGTTTTAACCTGGAATCAGGCTGGTTTTATTCCGAAAACAGGAATTTATAAAATGCCACACTGACTGATTGTGACTACATATTGTGTGTTTTCTGAACAAAATAGAACGTATCTGCAAATAAGTAAACATATTGGATGAATGATTCACTGCATAGACTTATATGTGCGTGTGTGTGCTTGAGAGAGAGTGTGTGTGAGTGTGAAGCAGTATATGTGTGTGAGACTGTGTGTAAGAGTATGTGTGCGGGTGTATGTGAGAGGGAGTGTGCGCCTGTGTGTGCGTGAGTATGAAAGAGTGTTTCTGTGAGAGTGTGTGTGTGAGACAGTGTAATAAGTAATCCAAAACTGTACAAACTAATTAAGGTAGAGAGATCATAACAATTTATCAAGGTGATGGTGTTAAAACAGGACGGTAAGGAAGATTTTTCGATACAGAACAGTATTGGTAGGGTTACATGAAGCGCGATATGAACCCAATATCACAGTTGAGGCCGTCCTCATGGGCACGGAACTTGGCTATCAGTCTCTGCTCGGCGATTCTGTGTTGTTGTGTATCTTGAAGTCCACCTTGGAGGACGTGAAGATTGGAGGTTGAATGTCCTTGACCACTGAAGTGTTCTCCACTGGGATGGAACATTCCTGCCTGGTGATTGTTGTGCAGTGTCCATTCATCTGTTTCGTAGCATCTGCACGGTCTCCCCAATATACCATACCTTGGGCCATCCTTGCCTGCAGCATATGAGATAGTCAACATTGGCCAAGTCACATGAGTATCTGTCGTGTACACGGTGGGTGGTGTGATGGTAGTAACTATGTCGATGATCTGACATGTCTTGTAGAGGTCACCATGGCAGGGTTGTGTGGTGTTGTGGTCGATGTTGTGCTGAAGGCTGGGTAGTTTGCTGCACGTGATGGTCTGTTTAAGGTTTGGCGGTTGTTAGAAGGCAAGAAGTAGAGGAATAGAGATGGTCTTGGCGAGGTGCTCATCGTCATCAATGACATGTTGAACACCGTGAAGAACATGGTGTAGTTTCTCTGCTCCAGGGAAGTACTGGACGACAAAGGGTGCTCTATCAGTCGTATCCTGTGCCTGTCTTCCTAGGATGTCATTTTATCCAAGATGTTTGTTTACTTGCAGATACATTCTATTTTCTTCAAAACTCACAATTTGTAGTCACAGTCAGTCATTTTATTTTGTGGCATTTTATAAATTCCTGCTTTCGGAATAAAACCAGCCTGATTCCAGGTTAAAACTCGGAGACAGATTCTGTACGAGGCCTCGCACCTACAATTTATTATCTGATCTGTGATGTTATCTTTTGTATATTCCTATTGCTCTGCCTGATGGAAGTCTGGAAGGTTAGGCAGACATTGATAAAAGCTCTAATTATCTCGGGACAGTGACTTGAAATGGATTATGGAATTTGTATCTTAATCGAAACTTGTGTCTCCTTTCTGATAGAGTTCTCCATCAGCCATTTTACGTTTGTTCACTCCACTCACACCAGTTGTATGATCCTTTGATCTCCCTATAAACTCTGTATCTGTGTGCCCTCTCTCACTGCACCTGAAGAAGGACCCAGGCTCTGAAAGGTTGTGATTTCAAATAAAACTGTTGGACTATAGCCTGATGTGGTATGATTTTTGATCTTGTCTTTCCCAGTCCAAATCTGCACCTCCATATCGTAATCTGAAGATGAGATGTTGTTCCTCCAGTTTGAACTGTGATTCACTGGAGCACTGCAGCATGCTGAGGACAGACACATGGGCATGCGAGCTAGACGCTGTGTTAAAATGACTGGCTATGGGAATGTCGGGGTCATGCTTGAGCACAGACTGGAAATGTCCTGCAAAGCGGTCACCCAGTCTGCATTTGGTTTCTCCAATATAGAGTCGGCCTCATTGGGTGCAGCGAATACAATACACAAGATTGCAGGAGGTACAGGTGAAATGCTGCTTCACCTGGAAAGGCCGTTTAAGTTCTTGGGTGGTGAGAAGGGAGGAGGTAAAAACGCAGTTGTTGTAACCTCGTAACCTCCTGCGGTTACATGGAATGGTGCCAATGGGAGGGGAGCTGGTATTAGTTCTCAATGAATGGACTAGGGTGTCCCAGAGATAATGTTTTCTGTGAATGCAGACAGGGGGAGTGAGGAGAAGACATGTTTGGTGGTGGCATTCTGCTGGAGTTGTCTGAAATGGTGGCAAATGATCCTTTGAATGTGAAGAATGATGGGATGAAAAGTGAGGACATGGGGGACCCGATCACACTGTTGTGAGTGATGGGAAGGGGCAAGGGTGGAAGCACGGGTGATAGGTCAGATGTGTTTGAGGACCCTGTCAACCACAGCGGGTAGGAAAGCATGGTCATGCAAGAAGCACGCCATGTCAGCAATGCTGCTTTGAAGGTGGCAACATCCGAACAGATGCAATGTAGGTGAAGGGACTGGGAGAATGGGAGGGAGTTCTTCCAAGATGTGGCGTGGGAAGAGCTGGAGTGAAGGTAGCTATGGGAGCCAGTGGCTTGTAGTGGATGGCAGTGGACACTTTATTCCCTGAAATGGAGAAAGAGAGGTCAAGGAAAGGAAGGCAAGTGTCAGAAATGGACGATGTGAAGGTTAGAGAGGGGTGGAAACTGGAGGCAAAAAGAACAAAATTTTCAAGGTCCTGGCGGGAGCATGAAGTGGCGCAGAGGCAGTCATTGATGCACCAAAAAAAAAAAGCTGTGGGCCATATTTCCTTTCTCAGTGACTGCCAATGACTCAGACTTACCCCACATGGACTTCAACTCAAGTTTCACCCTTCGTGTTTCAAATCCACCTAGGATTACAAGTGTGAGGTTCCCTACTGGGGACTGAAAGAAAAATAGATCTATGTTCTTTCTAGATAATGTGATGTTACATTTAGTGGGTATCCAAAGAGACTTGGGTGTTCAGGTGCATAAATCTTTAAAATGTCATGAACAGGTGTAAACAATAATCAAGAAAACTAATGAAACACTAGATTTTATATGGAGAGGATTGGAGTTATGCTGCAGTTATAGAAAACCCTGGTTAGACCCCAGTTGGGGCACTGTGAGCAGATCTGGGCACCACACCTTAGGAACAAAATATTGGTCTTAGAGGGAGTACAGTGTACGTTTGCAAGAATGATACCTGGACTTCAGGGGTTAAGTTTGAAGAACTGTATATAACTATATTAATCAGGCCTATTATCTCTAGAATTTAGAAGGTTAAGAGGTGATCGATTGAAGTCTGCAAGACATTGACAGGAAAAGAAGGATAAATAAAGATAAACTATTTCTACTGGTTAGGGATTCTGGAACTTGGGGCACAGTCTGAGAAATTAGGGCGAGACTGTTCAGGAGATATGTTAGGAATCACTTCTACACATGAAGGGTGGTAGAGGTTGGGAACTCTCTTCCACAAATGGCAGTGGATGCTGGATCAGTTGTTAATGTTAAATCTGAGACAGATAAGGGTTTGTTAAGAAAAGATATTAAGGGATATGGGCCAAAGGCAGGTATATGGAGTTAGGCCACAGATCAGCCAAAATCTCATTGAATGGTGGCTTGAGGGGCTTACACCTGTTCTTATAGCTGTATAAACAGTCCTCCGCATTCCTTAATATCAAGCTCACAAAAACAAAAGAACGAAAGCTAGGTTTCCTGACAGTTAACTGTCAATCATCTTTAATTGTTGCATTTGCCATGTCAACTCGAGTCCAATGGCCAACCAATCAGCACTCTGCTCTCGTGCAGTACAATGCCCACATCCTATGCCAAATAAAAAGAAACCTTTCTTCTATGCTTATCTTTTTGCAGCCAGTGAAATTCCTTAAACCATACATTGATGGTGATGACGGGGTTGAGATTAAACTCCATCATGGAACAACCACTCTGGCTTTTAAGTTTCAACATGGAGTGATGGTTGCCGTGGATTCCAGAGCATCAGCAGGCTCCTACATTGGTAAGTGATCAAACATTGTCACAGCTGTGTGGGAGTACACTCCACATGGAATTGCAGCATCGTGCTTAGTCCTCACTTCACGTTGTGAGTGAATTGTCCACATCAGAGCTTTACAAACCTGTTTTACTGATTGTTCCTGTCAGAGATTCATGGGTCACTGATTTTCTAAGAAGCTGTCTTTCACCTCAAAGACTTCAACACTCTCTAATTCACAAAGTAGGGGAACTGAAAAAATTCCAAGCCCAGACACATAACAGTTCATTTTTTATATTCATAAAATGTCAGGTTTGATGCCTGCGCTAGCATTTATTGTTCTTCAGAAAGTGGTGGTGAGCTGCTTTCTTGATCCGCTGCAGTCCATGTAATGTAGGTTGACCTAAATGCCCTTAGGGAGGGAGTTCCAGGATTTTGACCCAGCGACAGTGAAGAAATGGCAATAATATTTTCAAGTCGGGATGGTGACTGGCTTGGGGGGGATCTCACGAGTGATGTCATTCTCATGTATCTGCTGCCCTATTCCTTCCAGATGGAAGTGGTCATGGGTTTGGAAGGTTCTATCTAAGGATCTTTGGATAATTTTTGCTGCTACTAAGTGTCGGTGATGGAGGGAGTGAATGTTTGTGGATGTGGTACCAGTCCAGTGAGATGCTTTGTCCTGGATGGTATCAAGTTCCTTGAGTGTTGTTGATTCTGCACCCATCCAGGCAGATGGGGAATATTCCAGCACACTGCTGACTTGTGCCTTGTAGATGGCAGACAGGCTTTGCAGAGTCAGGAGGTGAGTTACTTGTTGCAGGATTGCTACCTCTGACCCACCTTTGTAGCCACTGTATGGCAAGTCAATGGTAACTGGTACTCCCAGGATGTTTACAGTGGGATTCAGTGATGGAAACACCATTGAATGTCAAGGTTCACTCTTGTTGGAGATGATCATTGCCTAGCTCTTGTATGAAAATAAACAGCTGAACCTTGGAAAAATTATCAATTTTAGGCAGAAATCACTCAAACTTGGAGGTTCAGGGCACAGTTTCAAAATTTGAAGGTAGCACTTGGAAAAGGTGTAGCAGTAACAAACAGAATAATCAATTGCAAGAGGATTATTGAAGTGGGCTGAGCAAATGCATAGCAAATAAAATTCAATACAGAAAGGGATGAGGTGATAAATTTTACGGGGAAGACTGAGTAGAGATTATACAGGCTAAATGCCACAATTTGAATGTGAGATATTGAGATTAGAGAGAGTCAATGGGCATACTTGTATATGACGTGAAGGAAAGGCTAGTCGAGCATAGAAATATATATATTTTTTTAAATAGAGACAAAGAGTACAAAAGCCTCAATCTTATACTGAACCATACTCGAGCTTGGCCCCAACTGGGCCGCCAATGTTAAGAAGGAGATGAAGGATTTGGTGAAGGTACTGAAGAAATATACTTGAGATTATTCCAGTTACATTAGTGCACTGTGAAGAGGGAATTGCTCCCATCAATAAAGTGAAGCTTGAGGGGATTAGTGCTGGAAAGTGAGACTGATGTAGATTCAGTGTAGTTTTTTGTTGGTACAGACTTGGTGAGTGAAAGGTTCTCTTCTGTACTGGATGATTCTATGATTTCCTCAAGGTGGATAAAATCTGGAGGGATTTGGACAGAGTCAGTGGAGAGAAACTGATTGATAAGAGAGTTGAGAGCCAGACTTAGTGTGAATGGTAAAACAGCCAGAGTTAACATGAAGGAAAGTGATCAGGGGCTGGAGTATCTGAGTCTCCAGCATTCTCTGTGTTTGTTTCAGATTTGCAGCATTCACTTATAGCTTAATTTCATTAGTAAATTAGGAATTCACTGATTCTTCTGTAGTTTGCTACGGGATAAGATTGTTTACAATAAATAGAGGTGTGTTCTGTTATTAATGAAACATGGTGTGAACTGAGGTTGTTGACTTGCTCGCCGAGCTGGCTTGGTTTTGTTCAGGCGTTTCGTCACCACGCTAGGTAACATCATCAGTGAGGCCTCGATGAAGCGACGTTATTCTACTCTGCTGGGAATTTATACTGTCCAGTCCGTTATGGTGAGTACTGTCATTTCTGGATTTGTTCTGTATGGGTTTGTATATGGGGTCCAATACTATATGTTTGTTGATTGAAATATGGGTGGAGAACCATGCCTGTAGGAATTCCCACGTGTCTATGTTTGGCTTGGGCTACTATGGTTACTTTGTCCCAGTTAAATTGATGGCCTTCGTAAGACCACTAGGAATCATGGTAGCACACAAGGCCACAGCCACTCTACGACAAACACTCACGAGGATTAAAGACCCCATTCCCACAACATGCAGAACCAATGTAGTTTACAAAATACCATGCAATGACTGCCACAAACATTACATCGGACAGACAGGAAGGAAACTAGCCATCAGAATACATGAATATCAGCTAGCAGCAAAACGACACGACAAACTCTCCTTAATATCTGTACATTCAGACAATGAAGGCCATCAGTTTAATTGGGACAAAGTAACCAAAGTAGCCCAAGCCAAACATAAACACGCACAGGAATTCCAGAGGCATGGTTCTCCACCCATAATGCAATCAACAAACTTATAGAATTGGACCCCATATACAAACGCATACAGATCCAAACTAGAAGTGACACTACTCACCATAACGGACCAGACAGTAAAAATTCCAAGTAGAATAGAATAACATCGCTTCATTGGAGGTTCCACTGATGATGTTACCTGGCATGGTGACGAAACGTCTGAACAAAAACAAGCCAGCTTGGCGAGCAAGTCAACAACGTCATCCACAACCCAAGCTACAGATCTGTGCCAAAACTTTAAACGGTGTGAACTGTTAGTTGGTCAGGCAAATTGGTCACCTAGCTGGTTTAATTGGGTTTTGTACACATTTCAGGAAAGCTTATGGAAAAGTGGGACTTGATACGGTGGCTCAGTGGTTAGCACTGCTGCTTCACAATGCCAGGATCCCAGATTCAATTCCAGCCTCGGCCGACTGTCTGTGTGGAGTTTGCACATTCTCCCCGTGACTGCGTGGGTTTCCTGCGGGTGCTCCGGTTTCCTCCCACAGTCCAAAGATGTGCAGGTTAGGGTGGATTGGCCATGTTAAATTGCCTGCACTGTTCAGGGATGTGTAGGTCAGGTTGATTACAGGGGACAGGTGGGGAGGCTTTGAGGTTTGGTGTGGACTTGTTGGGCCGAAGGGCCTGTTTCCACATTGTGGGGGTTCTATGATTCTATGATCAATGATTATCAGCCACTCTTCCCACTTTAGTGGTGATAACCCATACTTGTGCACACAGATGATTGTGTATGTGCACATCTGAGTGCATACATATTCACACATAGACAGCTATCCACACACACATACACACAGACGTAAATGCATACGTAGCTGTATTCTCATATACATGTTCACACCAAGTCGGGTAGATAGGCATTTGCACACAAAATTACAGAGATAAGATCATTCGCGGCACAAAAAGGATGATAACAAATCAATGTGCTCTTTTTTGTAGACACCCAGACGTTCAAGAAGGTGATTGAGATAAACCCCTACCTGCTGGGCACAATGTCAGGTAGTGCTGCAGACTGTGTCTTCTGGGAGAGAATGTTGGCCAAACAATGCAGGTAATGAAACAGTTGAGAAAAAGCCCTTTGGCTCACTGAGTCTGTACCAACAAATAACTACCTGAATCTACACTCATCCCACACAAGAACATGTTGGGCCTTTCAGTGAATGGGAAATATCATGATATAAAGTACATGGAACATGATGATGAGTTTAACTGTTTACAGAACTAGATTCTGATTAAATACTCTTGTACAGAAATAAGATCAGATGAATGTCACCTGTACATGTCATCACTTTGTCTCACTGTAATTCTCTGTTTTGTAGGATTTATAAATTACGGAACAAGAAACGTATCTCAGTGTCTGCTGCATCCAAATTGTTGGCTAACATGGTATCTGAGTATAAAGGCATGGGGCTCTCAATGGGAACCATGATCTGTGGCTGGGATGAGAAGGTGAGTGACAGCAGGGAGGGCGAAGGACTGAGAATCGGAGTGAGGGGTAGGAGGTGAGAAGTAGGGAGTCGGGGGAGTGATGGAGGGACGAGGAGTGAGGGGCAGGGAGTGAGGGGCAGGGTGTGCAAGGGATGGGATGAGGATCAGGAAGGGAGGGGATGTGGGAATATTGATGTAGGTGGTGATCTGGGATTGAAGTTAACTTCCATTCAGTTCTTGATCAGATGAAAAATTGGCTATTGGTCTACATGTCAGACTATTGTTCCTGTTATTTACAGTTTATAATTGTGAAGCAGGTCCAGCAAATGGAGAAGTGAAAGATGAATTAAACATTCTATCTTTCATTTGAGAGTCAGATAGATATTGATGCAAAACCATGCTAATGTGAAAAAGAGCATGGGACTGAGATTAAAGGATAGGGCTGGTATTGATTGGTTGAATGACCTCCTCCTGTACTGTATTATTGTGTGGTTCTGTCAAAAACATCACTGAGAATTGCTCTTCCCGAGTCTTACCTCAGACTCAACACCAAACGTCAGGGGACTAAATACAATTAATTATAGGATAGAAAATGAACAAAATGTGGATTATTTCTGTGTGAGGGACATTCATAGACCATGCTTGTGAATCTCACATATACAACAATTTGACAGGTCAAATAGTAAAGTATTTCACTGGGACTGCAGGTTTGTTGATTGGGACTTGATATGACTTAGCAAGTGGTAACACAGTACAGAGCTAAGTACAATTAAAGCCAGTGTCCAAATACGGATAATCTGACCGATTGAGCCAATGGATCAGACTGAGGCCATTCTGCCCATCCTACCTGTCGTTCCACTTTGAAAGGACATCCATCACCCTCTCTCTCATCTGGTCCAGTACAAAACAGGACTCGAATCACCAGTCACTTTCTGCTCGACACAGGGCTCAATGGTAGCAAATTGTACATTGGATGTGGCACAGAAATGGGCCATTCGGCCAACACCATTGATACAGGTGTTTTCCTGCTGTCGAGGCTCCTCTTATCTTTCCTCATCTAAATCTATCATCAGTCACAACCCAGTATTGCCTTCTTCCTCAGCTTCTTCTGTCTTGTTTCCCTTTAAACCCAATCGATAAGGACACCCTTCACCGACTCCCTGCAGGAGTGAGTTCCATAGTCTTCTCACTCTCTGCAGAAGATATTTCTCTGGGATTCCTGATTGGATTTCTTGGTAACTGTCTTATACTAATGTTCTCCAGTTATCTTCCTTCTCAGGAGAGGAAACTTTTCCACTTTGTGCAAACTCTTCTCCTCATTTCAAAGACCACAAAGTAGGTCACTGTTTCAGCCATCTCTCTGTGAGGGAGGAGGGTCCCAATCTGTCAGTCCTTTTCTTATCTGTAAACTTGCACATTTTTGGCAAAGTCACAACAAAGAGTAGAGGAGGGTATGGAAGCTCACATCATTCGTACCAGTGGCTAAGCAGCAGCTTGAATATAAGCTGACAGTTTTATTGTTCTCTATTCCTTCTCTAGGGTCCAGGTCTTTACTATGTGGATGATAATGGGATGAGGCTCTCTGGCAGCATGTTCTCCACCGGCTCAGGTTGTGGTTATGCCTACGGTGTTATGGACAGTGGATATCGATATGATCTGATGGTGAAGGAAGCTTATGATCTGGCACAGCGTGCTATTTACCATGCCACCCATCGCGATGCATATTCTGGAGGCACAGTTAACAGTGAGTGCAATAATCAGCACTAAATGTGATGTGGATCAATGTGAGGTTATTCACTTTGGTAGCAAAAACAGGAAGGCAGATTATTATCTGATTGGTGATACTTTGGGAAAAGGCGGGGAGGTACAACGTGACCTGTGTGTCATTGTGCACCAGTCGCTGAAACTTATTGTGCAGGAGTAGAGGCGGTGAAGAAGGCAAATGGTATGTTGTCCTTCATACTGAGAGGATTCAAGCCCAGCGTCAGGAATGTCTTACTGTTATTTTACAGGGCCTTGTAGACTGTGTGCAGATTTGGTTTCCTTATCTGAGGAAGGATGTTCTGGCAATAGAGGGAGTGCAGCAAATGCTTACCAGACTGATTCCTGCGATGGCAGGACTGATGCATGGAGAGAGACAGGATCAGTTTGAACTTTACTTGCTGGAGCTGAGAAGAATGACGATGGAAACCTATGAAATTCTAACAGGACTAGAGGTTAAACACAGGAAGGATGTTTCCAATGACCAGGGAGTACAGAATCATAGGTCACAGTCTAAGGACACAGAGTAGGCCATTTAGGACCGAGATGAGGAACAATGTCTTCACCCAGAAAGTAGGGAGCCTATGGAATTCTTTGCTACAGAAGGCAGTTGCAGGAATCAAATGGTATGGGGGAGAAAGCAGGAACAGGGGACTGAGTTGGATGATCAGCCATGGCTGAGGGAACAGAGTCAAAGGGCTGGTTGGCCTCCTACTGCTCCTATTTCCTCTATCTATATCTGTTTCTATATCTTTGTACATGGAAATCCCAAATGACTAATCAGATGGTCCAGCTAGAAGGAGCTTTGCTGCTGTTGCTGGGCATGGGAATGGACACTGGCATTGGTCCATAATGTCAGGGGGCTGGGCAATGTGGAAACAGAGGCAGCAGCTCAAAGAGGACTATAAGGACTACAACAAAAGTATTGAAACACAAAGATGTCGACTGTCAAAATGGGAAAAGGTGAAGAGATATGGTCAGGTTAAGTGAAGGGGAAGGAAAATGGTGCTGGATCATCATTTAGGGAAAGAATGACAGTATTCACTTTGATCAGAAGAATAGCCAATCAGGATATGTTTTACAAGGTGAGAAACATGTTAAGTGTCAATGTTGAACAAAATTTGGAGAGTTATTCAGTGGAACAGCTAATGTTTAATGTCCAGTGATAACAAACGTTGGGTAGAGAAAGGAAAAGGCTCAGGGTAGAGACAGTAATGATTATGGAATCCATTATGGAGTTAAAAGGAAGGGTCATCATTTCCTGTAAGTGAAGTGGAAGGAGTGAAATGTATTTCTTTTGTGCAGTGCAAGGTAACCGTTGTGTCTGTTTCATTTCACAGTGTATCACATGCGGGAAAATGGCTGGATCAAAGTGTCTCAGGAAGATGTTGGTGTTCTGCACCACAGGTACACTGCAGAGACCCCATGAGCTGCTCAAGACCCATTTGAAAACAAATCTCAGTCAAGACTAGCAACTGAAATAACCAAATATTTACATTAGACTGTTAGGCTGTGAATGGTTTACAGCTAACAGTTCACTCAAGTGCCATGAGCTTAAACTTCAGTTTACTGAATAAGTAAATACAATCTTTCCACAAACTGAATTATTGTTTGAAATGATAAAGGGTGGACATTGACCATCTCAAGAGCCTTTCTACCTGCACATTATTCAGATCAAATGGATTTAAATCGTGGGAGGAACAGCACAGCAGTTCTTCACTGCTTTGTCAGCAGTCATCCTTCAATCAGCATCACATAAACTACATTTAACAGGCTATTATTACCACCTTGCTGTGCATATCTTGAAAGCAGTGTTTCTTACTTGCCAAAACTTATGTTTCAAAATATCCTACAGCAGCTGTGAAGTATTTTGAGACCAGAGTGGTTGTTAAAAGCACTGTATAAATGCAAGGCTTCCTTTCAAATTGGACTTTCATTCAGGTACAGCATCCGGTGTGGAAACATTCCTGTGAGGTCTAAAGGGAGGATAAATTTGAGGGGAAGTGGTGACGCAGTGCTACTGTCATTAACCTCGTAACCCACAGGCCCAGTCTAATATTCTGCAACACTCAGAAGAAGCTCAACACTATCCAGGACAATACAGCCCACTTGTTTGGCACCACATCCACAAGCATCCACTCCTTCCACCACCAATGCTCAGTAACACCACAAGACGCACCGCAGAAATTCACCAAAGATCCTTAAACAGTACATTACGAACTCTTGACCACTTTCATCTAGAAGGACAAGTGCAGCAGGTACATGGGAACACCACCACCTGCAAGTTGTCTTCCAAGCCACTCACCATCCTGAATCAGAAATATCTCACTGTTCTGAGTTCAACATGTTAAACTGATGCTTTCTAAAGTGTCTCATGTGAATGAAAATATCACAAAACATCAATTAAGAAGAGTAGGGAGTTTCTCTGTTGTCCTGGCCAATATTGAATTATTCCTGAATCAATATTGCAAAAGTTGATATCTAACAGGCTGGTCCATTCCTGATATTCCAGCATTACATTTCAGCACAATTTTACTCAGTGTGACATTGCTTTCAGTTGTCATGAGGTGGCGAAGGGCACTAAAGGAATGCAAGTATGTCTTTCTCAGTTGCCACCCTCTGACATTGTGAACCAGGCTGAGGACAAGAGTCCCAGAATGGAAGCTGTTCCAATCTAATCTACCCGGCAACAGATGCTGCAAGGACAGACAGCTGCCTGTGGGTATGGTGAACTGTCCCAGCTGTGTTGGTGTACGAATGTGGAGAAAGGGCAGAGAAGACGGAGAAATGAGGATGGAAAATGAAAGCAGTTTAATACGGGAGAATTCCAGGGAATGTTTGTCAGCGATTTGTCTGGAAAATCCCTGGTTTTCAGAGGGATGGGGATACCAGGGAGTTGGGGCAGGACAGGGACAGAGACAGAAAGGGAGAAAGACTGCATGAAACTGTGAATGGGGAGAGGGTGACAGAAACATCAACGTTGTTGATGTTGATCCCCTTGTGGGATAATCTATAACCAGGGATCACACTATAAAACTCAGGGCAGGAGTGGGTTACCCCATTTAAAACAGAGGAGGGGAGAAATCTGAAACAAACATCTCCTCATTCTGTCAGGCACAGACACTCACTGCAGATCCCTGTGTTTGCTGTTACTGACACCCAGCATCACACTCACATACACACACCATTAGGCATAGTGATCAGACCTCTTTCCTTTCTGACACTGTCCACTTTGCTCAAAATAAGGGGCAGTGCCCTTTATTACAGGACAATTCAATTCTCTTCCCTCCCTCAATCTGTTTGCCTGTTGCTGCTCTCACTCGAGGCAATTCTGGGCTCTGTTGTCCCCTCTCCATTCTCACCTTCACTGAGGCCCAACCTTTGAACCCCATCCCTAAATCCCTCTGGATGGGGTCAGGGTGAATCCCCTTGTGGGATAATCTATAACCAGGGATCACACTATAAAACTCGGGGCAGGGGTGGGTCACCCCATTTAAAACAGAGCTGGGGAGAAATCTGAAACAAAAACAGAAATTGTTGGCAAAACTCAAGCAGGTCTGGCAGCATCCATGACCTGCCAGGTTTCTCCAGTAATTTGTTTTTATATTTCAGATCCCAGCAGCCTGCAGTTGGTTTATGATCCTGGGGAGAAATCTGTTCCCTCAGAAGATCATGCGTTTTTCCCAACGCTCCCCATCCAAGGGCAGTGGACAAGGTCAAAAATCACATGACACCACATTATAGTCCTGAAGAAGGAGCGAAACTCCGAAAACTTTTAAAAATAAACCAGTTGGACTACAACAAAAACAGAAGTCGCTGGAAAAGCTCAGCAGGTCTGGCAGCATCTGCAGAGAAAAAATTCCACAGTTAACATTTTGGGTGCGGTGAACTCTATTTTTTTTCCTTCACAGATGCTGCCAGACCTGCTGAGCTTTTCCACCAACTTATGTTTTTGTTCCTGATTTACAGCATCCGCAGTTCTTTCGGTTTTTATTCTGTTGGACTATAACTTGAGGTCTTATGATTTTTGACCATGTCCACCCAGTCCAACACAGGCACTTCCACATCAAAGGCAGTGAAAGCAGAGTGATTCAATCTTGTTTAAGACGAAGGGTGGATGGAGTCTTGTTAAGGGAATGGTTAAAAGGCGGTCTCCATCCTCTCTCCCCTAAATCTCAGGGATTCCCGGAAAATGCCAATCCTTTCCTGGAATGGGGTGAGAACGCATTCAGGCTCACAGACCAATCAGAATAAAGAGCTGGTTCCTGACGTCATCTGTTGCCGGGTAGAGTCTGTAAATTCAGGTTTGGTTCCAGTCCCCGGGCAGAGGGAGATAGAGCGATACAGTGTGGAGCTGGATGGAGGAAGCAGGTCAAGCAGCAACGAGGAGCAGGAGAGTCGACCTTTCAGTTCAGGACCCTTCTACCAAACTGTGGATGGAGAAGGGAGCTCTGAAATAAATAGAGAGGGGGGTTTGGGCCTGGTGAAGGTAGGTGGGATGGTGATAGGTGAGTGTAGGTAGGCAGTGGTGGAATTGGTCAGTGAGGTGGGGGGAGTGGATAGATGGGAGAGAAGACAGACAGGTTGTGTCAGGTCAAGGAGGCGGGGATGAGAGGGAGGGTTGGTCATGGAATGAGGCGTGGGATGGGGAGATTTTAAGTCTGGTGAATTTTATGTTCAGGCCATTGGGCTGCAGGCTCCAGAGGAGGAATATTAGATGTTGTTCCTCCAGTTTGTGTGTGGTGTCATTGTAGCACTGGAGGAGATGTTGGTGTTCTGCACCACAGGTACACTGCAGAGACCCCATGAGCTGCTCAAGACCCATTTGAAAATGAATCTCAGTCAAGACTAGCAACTGAAGTAACCAAATATTTACATTAGACTGTTAGGCTGTGAATGGTTTACAGCTAACAGTTCACTCAAGTGTCATGAGCTTGAACTTCAGTTTACTGAATAAATAAATAAATACAATCTTTCCACAAACTGAATTATTGTTTGAAATGATAAAGGGTGGACATTGACCATCTCAAGAATCTTTCTACCTGCACATTATTCAGATCAAATGGATTTAAGTCGTGGGAGGAACAGCACAGCAGTTCCTCACTGCTTTGTCAGCAGTCATCCTTCAATCAGCATCACATAAACTACATTTAACAGGCTATTATTATCACCTTGCTGTACGTGGATTAGAATTCCATAGAACACCATAGAGTTCACCAGATCTAGTAAGAAATGCTGATGCTGGAGTCTGAGATAACACATTGTGGAGCTGGAGTAACACAGCAGGCCAGGCAGCATCAGAGGAACAGGAAAGCTGACGTCTCAAGTCAGGACCCTTAGGGTCATAGAGTATTGTTAGGATCATATCATAGAATTCATCAGTCAGGTGGTTTGGCTGTGGGAAGTGCAGCGTTGTAGGTTAGGAGGGAGGGGTACATCTGGGTGAGATGCTCTTCTAAGGGTCGGTGTGGACTTGCTACACCAAGTGGCTTGTTTTCACACTGTGGTGATTCTATGAAATTTGGAAGTCTAATAACAGGAGGGAAGAAACTGTTCTTGAACCTGTGGTACATGTGTTTAAGCTCAAAATGTACATCTGCCCCATATCTCCTGTTGTTTTCTTAAGAAATGTTGAAGTGCCCTTTCACACTTGCTGATGAGTTCTGATGCCTCCCTGGTTTTCGACTCAAATCTCTCATGGATCTGTTCCCAGGCAGAATTGTCTTGGCTCAGGTGTTCACAGCATACTTTGCTTTTCAATCACTTTTTATGCCCTATTCATTTCAGTTGCTATGCCTATGTTTCTGGCTTCCCTTCTTAATGATTTTTATTTCACTTGAGCAGTCATAGGTTTCTAAGGTTTTGCAGTAGATTTTTAGCTCAGGTTATGGGTGTTGAGGTTGTTGAAGTTGGTTGGCTCGCTGAGCTGGTTTCTTGTTTCGCAGAAGTTTCATGTGGACGAGGAGAACCACCACTTCGACTAGGACAACACCAAGATCCTGGGACAGGCTAGGCAGAGACAGATACGAGAATTCCTGGAAGCATGGCACTCCACGAAGCATGCTATTAATAAACACATAGAACTCGACCCCATATACATTCCACTACGGAGGAAACCTGGAAGTGAGGCAATCCATCTCAACGGACCCCAGAGTTTAAAAACCTGGCGGGAAAACACACCGATGCTTCATCGGAGGCTGCACTGAGGATGTTACCAAGCATGGTAACGAAACGTCTGCAAAACAAGAAACCAGCTCAGCGAGCCAACCAACCCCAACACGCACAACAGTCATAGGTTGCTACAACTGGCTACCTCATCCTGTTCCCTTCCTGCCTCTATCTCCCCCGTGCTACATGATCTGCTGATCCTAAGCCTCTTGCACAACTTTCTCACAAATTGTTTACTTTCAGCACTTGTGGATCCTATTTCGCTACTACCAATTCCAAACATCCACTGCCCTTACCGTAAATAAATTTTACCGAAATAAGTAAGTTGACCCACTGAGAGATGCTCTGAGTCCCCCTTCAGGATAAAAGCAATAGGTCTGCCATTCCCTGTAGTGAAAGCCATCCAGGAGTTGCACGTGCTCCCTCTTTAATGCCTAATTCAGTAACTCTGCCGTATAGAAGCTCTGAATATGGTATTGGATATTAAATTTTGTTTAATCCCCAACACCTGACAAACTTCCAAAGAACGTAAGAAATAGGAACAGGTGGGGTCCATTTGGCCTCTCTCAGGACTACTCCATACCTCGATATTATGTAAATCTATCTCCGCTTTCAGTACTTTCAGTGATCTAGCCTCCACACTCTCTGGGTAGGGTATTACAGAATGCACTTGAACCTAATTACAAACCTCACACTGCTGTGTGATACAATGATTACACCAAAAGCTCAGTTCAATATGTACAAAAGCAAAATACAAAACTGCTATTGGATTAGACAGTAAAACGAAGACAGTGTGTGTTTCAGGGAGGGGTGATTTTAATCACAGCTCCGTGCCCTCTGTTTCAGAGTCTGGTTAAAACTCAGCTGTGCCCTACTCCCCGTTGTGAGACAGTCTCTGCAGCAGACAGAAATAGCAGCCTTTTCTCTCCATTAATTCCTCGTGCTTTCCCTCCTCCATCACCATTCCTCTCTCAATCACGATGATCTTGTCAGCCTTTTCCACGGTCTTCAGACGGTGGGCAATAACCAGGATGGTTTGTCCCGTGTCCTTCGATAACACCTGCTGGATCTGGGGGCGGTGGGGGGAAGAGAGAGAGAGAGGATTACAAATGCTCAGAGTCAGTGTGGCCTAATGCCATCATTGGCCTGGAAGCACATCTTTGGGGTGGGGGAGCTGGGAATGTTGCAAGTGTAAATTGTAGGGTGCTGGCCATGCCCCGGTCACTGTCTCTATCAGACTGCGGGAAACTACCACTACATCAGTAAGAAATCTGACCAATCTACACCCTTCCCTTTTAGGCAAGAGGAGGCAGACCTGCCTAGAAGCGCTTATCCTGAGCTGCTTGGCTCAGTTGGAAAATCAAGTCAATCACACGAAAGTTGCAAGTTGATTGTTTGTTGAACAGTTGATGATGAGGACTGTGTTTCAATTCTAATAGTTTGTAAACCATAAATGTGTAAATTAGCCCAGGGAAAGTGAGTTTATAAGCATAGGAGAGAGAGGTGATTTGACAGTATGGCAGTTTATAGTTAATAGCACAAGACTAAGGCTAAAGTAAGTTAAATGAAGTAAAAGGAACTAAAGTTCAAGGGAATGAATTGATTTAAAAGTTTCAGGTTAATGCAGAATGCCACCATGACACAGACAAACTAATGTGCAGAAAGTGTCACTGTGGTTGAATGTATGGCTGAAAAGATGGTGAAGAAGGGGGGGTTTCAGATTCTTGGGACACTGTGACTTGCTCTGGGGAAGATGGCCCCTCTCCAAGTAGGACTGGAGTTTCTTGTGGGCGCTTAGTTTAAAACCTTTGCAGTGACACTAACAAACTTGACCCGAGAGCAGGAACCAAGAGAGAGAACAGTGGAGGAAAAGACTGGGGTGCCTGAAATGCCAGCTAGCACTAGGTTAGAGAATAATAAGTTATTCGGTAGGTTCAGTGGAAGGGAGAAAGTCTAAATCAGAGTTCCGCTGCATGTTGGTGATACACGAACTATAGGGAATAAGGTTGGGAAGCTACAGTTGCAGATTGCAAAGTGGAATTATGATTTTGTGATTGTGATGGAGACCTGACTCAAAGGAGGGCAAGACTGGGTGCTAAATATTCCTCTGTGTAAAAGCACTCAGGAAAATACATAAGGCAGTAAGGACAAAGTGTGGTCTTTTTTAGTTAAGGAGAGCATTGTTGCTCTGAGGAAATGAGGAAAGAGCATTTCAGAGGGTTAAAGAACAGAATCAATTTGGTTTGAGGAATACAAAAGGTTTAGCTACATTGCTAAGTGTAGTCAATAGAACAGCAGCAAGTGGGGAGGACATAGAGGAACAAATCTGCAGGGAAATTACAGAGGTCTAAGTATCATAGATCCTTGTGATAATTAAAGACCAGTATACAGACTGGGATAGTGTGGTGTAAGGGGCAGCAAGGGGAAGGTGTTCCTAGAGTGTGTCCAGGAGAGTTTCCAGCTGCAATATGTGCCCAGTCCAACAAGGAAGCAGGCACTAGAAGACCGGGCTTCTGGAAATAAGATTGGCCAAGTGATAGTGGGGAATTTAAGGATCAGTGATCATTGGTCAATCCAGAGTAAGAATAATCAAAAGGTGGAGAGAGGAATTTAAAGGGACAGGAACACAGCTGGACTGATAAAATGGAACAAAAGGTTGGTGGGAAAAACAGCAGCTGAACAATGGGGACGGGATGGTTCCGTACAGTCAAGGTATATTCCTTCAAAAAGGAAAGATGGGACCATCAAATCGAGAGCTCCATGGATGGCAAGGAAATGAAAATTTAGACAAAGAAGAGAAAGTGTGCTTTTGACAGGGGTCAGATAGATAATACAATTAAGAACAAGGAGAAATATCGAAGGTTTGGGTGGGGAGGTGAGAAAGCAAATAAAAGAAACAAAGGGAAATTATAAGAAAAGACTGGCAGCTAACATAAAAGGAAAATGCTACAGTCTTCAATAAGGATATCAATAGTAAGAGATAGTAACAGGAGGAGCAGGGCTGATTAGGCATCAAAAAGGGGATCTGCACACAAAGGCAAGAGGCAGCTCTGAGATGGTAAAGGAATACTTTGCATCTGTCTTTACCTACGACGCAGCTGCTTCCTAGGTCACAAGGCCGCAAAATGTCAGGCCATTCAGCCCATTGTGTATGCTCTGCTATTCAATGAGATCATGATTGCTCTGATCATCCTCAACTTCACTTTCCTGCCTTTTCCCCATAATCCTTGCTTCACTCACTGACGAAAAATCTGTCTTTCTCAGCCTTGAATATATAGGAGGCTATGATGACAGAGGAGTAAATCCAGTGAGTTAGAATGCTTTTAAATTGATATGGAGGTGGTATTGCAGAAACTTTATGTACTTAAGTCAATAAAGCACCAGGACCAGAGAAGATGCGTCCAAGGATACAGAAGAAGTGAAAGTGGAAAATGTAGAGGCCTTAATTTTTCAATCCTCCCTAGAGTTGGTTGAAGATTGCCGGAAGACTGGAGAATTGCAAAATTTACAGCCTTGTTCAAACAGGTTGTACAAAGAAAGGCCGAGAAATCACATACCAGTCAGTATAATATTACTGGCAAGAAAACATTGAGGAAAAGAAAACTATTTGAGAGAGTTTTAATAGTCACATGGAAAAATATCTGTTGATTCAGAGAGGCAGCATGGATTTGTTAGTGAAAAACATGTCTACCAAACTTGGAGTTCTTTGAGCGGTAACAGAAAGGCTTGATGAGGGTAATGTTGTTGATGTGGTCTATATGAATTTCCAGAAGGTGTCTGATACAGTGCTACACAACAGACTTTTGAAGAAGTTTATCTGTCATGCTATAAAGGGGACAGCAGTAACATGGATACAAAATTGACTGAGTATTAAGATAATAGAAGAATGGTAAATGGGTATTTTCTTGAGTTGGTGGAAGGTTTGTCGTGCATTTCTGCAGGGGTCAGTATTGGACCCTTCCTAATACATATGAATAATCTGGATCTTGGTGTATTGGGGACAATTTTCATTTTTGCAGAGGATGCAAACCTTGGAAGAATTATAAACTGTAAGTGGTCAGTGTGGAATTCCAAAAGAGCATTGACAAGTTGGTGCAGTGGTTGGATAGGGGGCAGATGGGGTTCCATGCAGAAAAATGAGTTGATGCTCTTTGGTACAAAGAAAATGGAGAGACAGTATAAAACAAAGGGTACGATTCTAAAGGGTGTACAGGAGCAGAGGTTCCGGTGTGTATAATGTACACAAGGCACGAAATGTGGCAGGACTGGTAGAGAGAGCTGTTACTAAGCATACAGTATTCCAGGCTTCATTCATAGAGGCAGAAATTACAAGAGCAGAGGGGTTATGATGAACTTATAACATACACATGTTTCAACCTCAGCTGGAGTATTGTGGACAGTTGTGGGCGCCACATTATGGGAAACATGTTAATGTACCGGAGAGAGTGCAGAAGTGACTTTAGCTTTTAGGAGAGATTGGGGAAGGTTTGACTGAACTCTTAGGGGAGGAGAACGATAAGAGGAGAGGAGACAGAAGTTTTCAAAATTGTGAGGTGTCTGAACAGAATAGACAAGTAATAAAGAAAGTTTTGCTGCTCATAAAATGGATTGAGAAACAAAAGGCACAGTTTCAAATTGTTTTGCAAATGAAGTGAATGCAACATGAGAAAACTTTTCCACACACTGAGTAGTTAACGTATGGAATGTACTGCTAGGAATTGCAGTGGAGGTAGGTTCAATTGAGGCAATCAAAAGGGCATGTAATGATTATATAAATAAATATGATGTATAGGGAAAAGGCCAGAGAGCAGTACAAAGTTCACATTCTCAGAGAGTCCGTGTAGGCAAAATGGGCTGAATGGACTCCTTTCACACTATAACAATTTTGACATTGCAATAAATCTGTTACATCAGGAATAACCCCAATCAATCTACACTAAGTGGACTAAAGCCGTTACACCATAATAAACCCTATCAATATACACCCTAACACTGTGTAATAAAGCTCTTTTACACCAGTAATAAACCCCATCTACGTACACCCTAACACAGTGTAATAAAGCTCTAAGCCACCAGTAATAAGGTTTTCTATGAATCCAGAAACTGCTCACCGTGTGCTCACTTTCCAAGTCGAGTGAGCTTGTTGCTTCATCGAGGATGAGGATTTGAGGTTTCCGGATGAGTGCCCGAGCAATGGCTATTCTCTGTTTCTCTCCAGCAGAGAGCCGTCCTCCTGCCTCTCCGACATCTGAGTGAGAGGGTGGAATATTTCAGTGATGGTCATGTAGTATTCACGCAGGAAACATTCCCCTGTTTCCTCTTCTCAGTGACTTACTGTCTGGAGGAGGTCCTCTCCGAGAAAGGGAGGGGAGCTCTCCACTGGTATTGCCCTCTCCAGGGATCAATAGGAGTAACCCCAAAACACTCAAAGCCCAGAGTCACTCACCCTTGCTAACAGAGTCCCTCACTCTCACCCTCAATGATGGTGACTCACCCTTGCTAACAGAATCTCTCACTGTCCCTCCTGCTCATCCTGCCCACACACCCAGTCTCAGTGGGTTCAGATGGTTGTTTCTGACAGTACCTGTATTGTAGCCATGCTCCAGCCTCTCGATGAATTTGTGGGCATTAGCTTTTTGAGTTGCTGCAGTGACCGATGATATTGGACAGTTCTGGAGGCCGTAACAGATATTCTCCCTGACAGAGAGCGCCATCAGCACAGGCTCCTGTCCCACAACGCCCAACTGAGGAGCAAAAATACAAGAGTTTTGTTCAGAATCACCAGTAGACAGACAGACTCCAATGTTGTTCCAGAATACTGTCGATGTGAGAGGACCAGGAGAACAGTGAAACCTGCACTCAGTGCTCACTAATGGACTGGGAGTGAGACAGGGAGTGTGGGCAATGGAGAAACATCATTCAACACAGTTCAAGGCGTCAGAGATCTAGAGAAGGATATTTTGAGTGTAATTTTGAGTGTAGTTTTGAGTGTGGAACACACCAATATTATGTGTAATTTGAAATGGATAGTAGGGCATTGGTATGCATGCCCCCCCCACTGAGGCAGTTGGTAAAGTGGTATACTTGCCTTTATTAGCTGAGGCACAGAATTTAAAGAACAGGGAGATGATGCTAGAACTGTAGGAAATATTGATGAGGCCACGGCGAGAGTAATGTGTGCAGTTCTGGAATCCACATTCTAGGTGAGATGTGATAGCACTGGAGAGGGTGCAGAGGAGATTTACCAGAATGCAGCTTGGACTGAAGAGTTTCAGTTATCAAGAGAGATTGAACAGACTGGGGTTGTTTTCCTTACAGCAGAAGGGACATGACAGAGATTTATAAAATTATGAGGAGCACAGATAGGAAGAAACTTTCCCTTGGTGGAGGGATTAGTGACCAGGAACACAGATTTAAGGTACAGGGCAGAAAGTTTAGAGGGCACATGAAGAGAAACTTTTTTACCAAGAGGGAACCTGGAACTCACTGCCTGTAAGGGTGGTAGAGGCAAAAACCCTCAGAACATTTAACAAGTATTAAGATGGGCATTGGTGATGCCAAAGCATAAAGGCTGTGGGCAAATAGGATTAAAACAGTTAGACAGTTGTTTTCGACCAGATTAGACTTGATGGGTCGAAGAGCTTTTGCCTATGCTGTAGAGCTCTATAACAATAAATGCTAGCCTTATTTTGTAGGGGTAAAAATTGGAGGGTAAATACTGGTCAGGACACCAAGGCTAACTCCCCTGATTTTCTTCAGAAAGAGGCCCTGGGTTTATACACACCCACCAGAGCAATCAGATGATTCATACTTTGTCTGAACGACTCTATCAAGGAGAAGCCAAAGGTTCACTGAGGAGCAGCTCAGGAGGGTGGGTCAACAGGTTTTAGGCTGGAGTGATGAAAAACAAAAAGGTTCTTCCCATTATAGCAGAGAAAATCTGTCAGAGGGAGGTGAGAGGGAGGGGCCACAGTCAGCAATGGTCTTGCTCAAGGAGATTGAGGTAAATTACATTGTCCACTCTGATCAGTCAGAGGGTGATAGCAATGGGCATGTTTCAATCTAAATGGCTTTTCCATGCCCCTAAAGGCTGCTGAGGATGGGAGTTAGGTCGAATATACAGACTGAGATTGGAGCTTTTTTTGTCAGTGGTACCGGGGCAATAGAACCAAGGTGGGTAGATTTAGAGAAGACATAGATCAGATGTGACCTAATTCATAGTGAACAGGCTGAAAGGCCACCTCCAAATGGGCAGAAAGCCAGGAACTGAGATCGAGGGACAGTGAGTAAGTGAGTACAAGGTGGAATGAATGTCAGACCCTGGGGTATTATAAGACTGTTGAGTGCCCTGTCTGTTACTGATATTGCTGCTCTGCAGTTCCTTATTCTGTTCATAACTTATATACTACATGCAATCAGTGTCCCTGTGTGTATTACACACACACAATCAGTCTCCCTGGAGTATATGACACTCTCTCAATATCCTTGTGTTTCTAACACTATCTGCCTGCCCCCTGGAGTTATATGACATGGTCACCCTGTCTCTAGGTGGTATATGACACCCTCCCACCCTCTCTCTGTCTGTCCTGAGGGCTGGGGGAATATCCCATGCTGTTCCTCAGCTTGTTGTGGTCATATTTGTGTTCATATTCCTCGATGGGTCTACCATCCAGCAGGATCTGTCCAGACTGAGGCTGATAAAATCTCTCGAGCAGATTCACACACGGCGTCTTGCCCCCACCAGAGGGTCCCACCAGGGCCGTGATCTCACCACACTTCAGCTTAAAGGACACGTTCTGAAAAGAAATAGGACGCACACAAGGAATATATCAGCACAATGCAAGGCAGTTTCCGTGTCAGAAACCAATGAACTATTGAACTACTAATTCCAACAAGTTTTTTTTTTAGAAAATTCGGGCATACAGGCAAAAGATGGCTGTGGATGTAAATTCACTATCTGATAGATACCCTTATGAAGCCATGGATCATCACACTTGTCTGGTGTCACAGAAATGTCCAAAAGGGACACTTAAAAAGAAGGATGAGAGGTGACTTGATAGAGGTTTACAAGATGATGAGAGGCATAGATAGAGTGGATAGTCAGAGACTTTTTCCCAGGGCGGAAATGACTATTATGAGGGGACATAATTTTAAGGTGATTGGAGGAAGGTATAGGGGAGATGTCAGAGGTAGGTTCTTCACACAGAGTGGTGGGCATGTGGAATGCGCTGCCAGCAGTGGTAGCGGAGTCAGATACTTCAGAGACTTTTAAGTGACTCTTGGATAGGCGCATGGAGGTTGGTAAAATATAGAGTATGTAGGGTAGATTGATCTTAGTAGGATAATAGGTCGGCACAACATCGTGGGCCGAAGGGCCTGTACTGTGCTGTGTTCTATGTTCTGTGTTCTATGTTCTAAGCGTTAGCAAGTGGCTAGTTCCCCATCCTGCCTCAGGAGAAAGCCAGCTCCTGCCTAAATGTTTGTGGGCTCCCCTTCCAGAAATATACAAATATACACCAAATGCCCATTCCCTAATCTGTGCGCATTAGTGCATCAATGTGCTCATGTGTATACTGTGAAGGTCACAGCTCGAGGACTGCCATTAGACATAAAAGGCATACCCTGACTCTGAATGCTTGAAGCTAATCAGTGCTGAAAAGTAACAGGACAGAATAATTTCAGTTAAACTGCAAGTAGAAAAATCTCAAAACTGACTGCTCAACTACCAATGATGGACTTACTGTATCACCCAATGTAGACATGGTTACATTCACTATCCACTCTTCACCAACAACCCAGAGACTGATCCATATATCTATTCATTTTTATCTTTTATTTGAACTCACTTTGTTTCTAATCCGTGTGCCTGTGTATTACACTTCTACATTTCTCAGGTTTCACAAACTAATAAACTCACTCTTCCATTCAAGAACGCTTAGTTAAATTGGTTCTTATTCAAACATAGGTTTGTTTGGATATGCGAGAAACGCATTCTATAGGGAACCTTTTTAATAAACAATGTTGCGACCGATTAAAGAGGTGGTTGAATAAAGAAGGGGAGACAGTTCATCCAAGTTTGCTGAATTTGCAAAATAGATGCAAAGGCATGTTGTGATGAGGATATAAAGAATCTGCAAGCGGATATAGATCGGTCGAGAAAGTGGGATAAAACTTGGCAGATGGGGTTCATTGTTGGAAAGTGTGGGGTCACACACTTTGGTGGAAGAATCGAAGGGCAGATGATTATTGAAATGGAGAGAGACCCCAAAAAAAATGAAGCACAGGGGGATCTGGGTGACCTTGTGTAGGTGCAGCAAGTAATGAAGAAGGTACGTGGAATTTAGGGCTTTGTTACCAGGAATTTTAAAAACAGAGATCTTCTGACAATTACACAGGATACTGGTGAAGCCATACCTGGAGTACTGGGTACAGCTTTGATCCCTGTATTTAAGAAAGGATTGTCTGGGATTGGAAGCAGTTAAAAAGAAATTCATGAGGTGGTTCTTACCGAGAATGGCTAAACAGGTTTGGCCTTTATTCATTAGAGTTTAGAAGAATGAAAGTGATTTTATTGGAATGATGATTCAGAGGGGTTTGACAAGGGGAATATTGAGAAGATGTTTCCTCTAGTTAAATTAGGGGTCATAGTTACAGAATAAGAGCCCACTCATTTGAAACTAACATGCGAAAGAATTTCTTCTCCCAGAGGATAGTGAATATCTGGATTTCCCTACCCCAGACAGTTACAGAGGTTAAATTACTTCCAGTGATCTAAGAGGGTTCGATGTATAGATAGATTAATGGATACCAGAGTTGACAGCTGTGCAGAGGCAGTGAGAGAGAGAGAGGAGGCCTGGGATAGATTGGCCATGATTTTATAGAAAGGAATGGCAGGCACAAGGAGTTGAATGACTTCTTTCTGCTGTTTGGTTTGTGCAATTGTGGCCAGTTGTTGACATCAACATCATCAGCTTGGGCTGGTGAAGAGCTTGAGGTTTACAATAAAAAGAGAATATGAGTAGTTTCTGTCTCTGTGTCTCTCTCTTTCTCTCTGCTGCAAAAGTAACTGGATCCTGGAGAATGCCACAATGTGGGGAAATGTAAGGTTATGCACTTTGGAAGGAATAGAGGAGCTGAATATTATTTAAATGGAGAAAGACTGCAGAAAGCTGCAGCACAGTGGGATTGAGTGTCCTCATGCATAAAAGGTGAGTATCCAAGTTCAGAGCGTAATAGGGAAAGAAAATGGAATGTTGGTCTTTATTTCAAAGGGAACAGAATACAAAAATATAAAATAAAAGGTTGTTTCCCCTTGTAGGAGAGTCTAGGAGCAGAGAGTATAATCGCAGAATAACAGGTCACACAAGACAGAGATGAGGAGGAATTTTCTCTCTGAGAAGAGTGAATCTGTGGAATTATTTACTGCAGAGGGCTGTCGAGGCTGGGCTATATGCAAGGCTGAGATAGACATTTTTAATCAGGCGGAAATCAAGGGTTTGGGGAAAAAATGGAGTCGCACGTTATTAGATCAGTCATGATCACAGTGAATGGCAGAGCAGACTCACTGAGCTGATTAGCCTTTTTCAGCTCCGACGTCTTATGGTCTTAATCCGTTCAGTTGCTGATTTATGATCTCTTTGAATTCTACTGAAACATAACCTTTAGAACCTGATCTAAGATCTCACTGAGACCTACTCCAATACTACATTACAATATCTATAGATAATAATAACAGAATCAGTGCAGGCATGATGGGACCAATGGCCTCCTTCTGTCCCATAACAATGCTGTAATTCCGATCTCACTGATATCCACTTGAACATTGTCTTCAGTATCTGATCCAGATCTCAGAGATGTACTTTTAATATTACTTTCAGTACCTCATGCAGGATCATTCTGGGATCCACTGTAACATTTTAATTGCTGATCTCAGAGGATACTGAAGATGAATCGATTATAACCTTACCTTTAAGGCCTGAATGTTGGGTCTCGTTGGATAAGAAAAGGACACATTCTGGAATTCCACATGTCCTTTCAGAGTCTCCTTTACCAGGTTCCCATCCGTGGGAACTGTGGACTTCTGGTCCAGGTAATCAAACACTTTCTCAGCTGCTCCCACTGAGTGGGTCATCTCCGAGTACATGTGAACCAGGGTCTGTTCAAATAGACAGACAGCAGCTTTATCTTGGCCATGTCCATACCCTTCCTCACAAATAAAGACCAAACATAGCAATGCATGTACCAACAACACACAGCAGTGGCTGAAAAGGAGGCATGAAGCTGAACTGGAATTTAAAGTTGGAGGATTAATGGTCTTTCTGTCAGAGATTGTTTCTAGTGGTAACCAGCAGGAAATTAGCAAGATCAGGGCCTACAGGGGATCTCATGGTAATACTATCTTTGTGGATGTAGTCATTGAAACTGAGCCGTTAATTTCATGAATTCAATGCTTACAGATTCAGACACCCTAATACAGTAACAGTAGAACATCTGGATTGCCATGGGAAATAACGCCACAGACGCTGTCACCAAGTCACCATTTATTTACACGTGGAGAGCCCTTGACTCTGGTCCAGCTGTCTCAGAACTAGCTCTCAGAGTGAACAGGATGTCTGACCCTCCTGTTTTTCACTTGTCAGCCAGGGCTCCCTGACTGGACCAGATTAACAGCCCTAATCAGGGAATTTGTATTCTATGAGGTCCACCTGGCTGACCTTGTTACAATCACTACACCATGAAATAGTGACGTTGTGTAACTGTCCACTGGTGTCATGGAGTGGTATGTTGGTAACTAAGCTGGCAGTGTAAAAACAGAGAACAACGATATGCTATTGTTCCCAATTTGGAATTATTGTGATCTTAGCAAACTTGAACGAATCCTTCACATTATATGTGGAAAACTCATTTAGAACTGGTGCAACATTTAGAAGCTTAGAAAATATGAGCAGGAGTAGGCCATTTAGCCCTTTGAGCTTCCTCTCCCATTCAATATATAATCATGGCTGATCATTCAACTCAATACCCCTGTTCCTGCTTTCTCCATATACCATTTGATCCCTTCAGCCCTAAGAACTATATCTGACTGTACCTTGAAAACAGTAGATGTTTTGGCTTCGACCACATCCTGTGGAAGATAATTCCATCGGCTCACCACTCTCTGGGTGAAGACATTTCTCCTCATCTCAGTCTGAAATGGCCGATCCGTATCCTTAATCTGTGGCCCCTGATTCTGGACTCCCTGGTTATTGGGAACATCCTTCCTGCTTTTCCCCTGTCTGGTCCTGTCAGAATGTTATAGGTTTCTATGAGATCTCCCCTCCCCTTCATTCTTCTAAACCCCAATGCATATAGTCCTAACCAACCCAGTTTCCGCTTATACATCAGTCCTGCCATCCCAGGAATCAGTCTGGAAAACCTTTGTTACATTCCCTCCACAGCCAGAATATCCTTTGGATACTTTAGAGACTTTTAGCGACTCTTGGATAGGCACGTGGAGGATAGGAAGATGTAGGGTATGCAGGGTAGATTGATCTTAGTCGGCTAATAGGTTGGCAAAACATCGTGGGCCGAAGGGCCTGTACTGTGCTGTACTGTTCTATGTTCTACGTTCTATCCTTCTTCGGATAAGGAGACCAAAACTGCACACAATACTCTAGGTTGTAGTCTCACCAAGGCCCTGTAAAATTGCAGCAAGACATCCCTGCTCCTGCACTCAAATCCTCTCACTATGAAGGACATCATACTATTCACTTTCTTCATCACCTGCTGCAGCTGCATGCTTACTTTCAGTGACTGGTGTACAAGGACACTCAGGTCTCATTGCACCTCCCCCTTTCCCAATCTATCACCATTCAGACAATGATCTGTCTTCCTGTCCTTGATACTAAAATAGATAACCTCATATTTATTTCCATTATACTTCATCTGCCATGCGTTTGCTCACTCATTCAACTTGTCAAATGATGCTGAAACATCTCTGCATCCTCCTCACAGCTCATCCTCCCATCCTCTGCAAATTGGAGATATTACACCGAGTTCTCTCATTTAAATCATGAAAATATATTTGTGAATGGCAGAGGTCCAAGCACTAATCTCTGCAGTAGTACAGCATAGAGAATGTGTTTAGAAAGATTTATTATGTTAAGCTGAATATTAATTGTGCTACCAGTTCAAATTAAGTAAGTTTCTTATGTGGGCATGTTTCGTACAGGTTTAGTTTATGGTGTGGTTGTCTATCGAGGCAATTGTGTACACATCACGTAAACCCAGATAGGTGGCATTTCCTGGGATCCAGCCCATACTAACATCTTTACTGATTTCCATAAAAAGCTCATCTTTGATAGAAAGACCACTAGCCTTCTGGCCCTTGCACATTTCAGATATGTAGGTGACACATTTAGAATATTTCAGATCAAAAAATTTCTTTACATAACTTAATAAACTCCATCTTTCACCCACATTTACAATTGAAGTGGAACAAGCAAATGAGCTCGCTTTCCTCAATGTATTAGTTGAGAATTCTGACAATGGATTCTTAACTCTTATTGAGCAAAGGCCTACATTCTCCAGTCAATATCCACACTGGGATTCCTACAGTCTCATGCTACAAGGTCAATCTTATTGGTATAAACACATGAATAGGGCCTTAGCCATCTGTTCACTGTGTGAGGTTGCTGCTGAGATATGTGGAAACAATCCTGCACGATAACAGGTATCCTAACCAAATCACCACTTGCTGTATATCATAAAAACTCATGAAACGGGCCTCTGTCCACCACTTCTGGCTCTGAGCGTAATAACAAACACTTGGAGCACTGTTTTACGTGGATAAAAGGAATTTGTACACACACTGCAACTTTTTCCACAAGAAAAAGGGTTTATGGGGACAGCCAAACTCACTGCATCCCCAACAGCCTGATCAATCAGAATCTACCTGCACAGTCTGAGAATGAACAGTGGCAGTTGATTGTTCTTGCTGCATCTCCAGGTAAAGGATGGATAACAAATCACTCTCTTCTTGTGCCACATAAACCCGTGTCCCTTTGTTTCAGTCTATTTCAAGTATCTTCATTGTGACGAGTGCAAGATAAAAAGCTTTGACCTTTGGTCTCCCTTTAGCAATGTTTAAGTTCTGTACTACTAAGTATTTATTTAACACAGACGTACCAAAAAGAGAAAAGAAAACACAATATGTGCAAACATTTGTGCCAAGCAAGTAGTGGCTGATGAAGATATCCAAAAAGGGAGAATCTAACAATCACCCCTTGACGTTCAATGGTGTTACCATCACTGAATCCCCAACTATCAACATCTTAGGGGTTACTATCAACCAGAGCCTCAACTGGACTTGCCACATAAACATAGTGGCCATGGGAGCAGGTCAGAGGCTAGGAATACTGCGGCGAGTAACTCACCTCCTGACTCACCAAAGTCTGTCTAAGGCATAAGTCAAGAGTGTGATGGAATACTCCCCACTTGCTTGGACAGCTACAAAGATTGGAATATGCAGGGACTGGATGAGAAGGCACAGTGAAGGCGATGGACTGAACAGGTGGGCCAAAGGGCCCATTCCTGTGCTGTACAGTTCTATGTTCTGTGTTCTACAGCACACAGTACTAGTCTTCTTATTTAGCAAAGGTATTAGGTAGGAATCAAAAGCGATGAGGTGGAAATGTAAAGGGATTGGAATGTACTGTAGGTGGATTGGATAGGAATGTGGGGAACTCAACTGGGAATGTACAGGGATTGTACAGCTATGGAGATTAGATAGGAACATACAAGGATGGGAATAGGGAGATATTGGGTGGGAATGTACAATGATTGGAAAGGAATCGAGAGATCAGATGGGAATGTACAGGAGTGTAATAGTAGTTTGAAGAGATGGGCTTAGAAAGAGCTGAGATACCACGACAGAAATCCAGTGAATTTCATCTTTTTCCAGTTCATATTGAAGTTGAGTGTGAGGACAGGAGATGGGGTAGCTACAGATTTCTGGCTGTGTTAAAATGCTTGGAGTCAGACAGAAGGTAAAAGCTAAAAGGTAAAAACTGTGCATCCCCCAAACACAGCAACTGAGACCATCAGGGAACTGAGAGTCTTACCCGGACGTAAGAGCCGAAGTCTCCCTGGTACAAGATGAAAGCGACAAGATTCCCACTACTCATCTGTCCATTCCGGATCAGGTGCTGTCCAGTGTACAACATGATCAGCTGCATTGCGAGTTGTATGTGCTGTAAAAACACAGCAAGGGGAAGGAATGAGGACACGGGCAGACTGAGAGACACAATAATATCCCTCTCCAGGACAGAGAGAACAGTGAGAGGCACAGCACTATCCCTCTGTACCCAGTGAGAGACAGAGCGAGACAGCGAGAGAGAGAGAGAGAGAGAGAGAGACAGAGAGAGAGACTGGGGAGAACCTCACTATCTACATGATACACGAGAGGAGGTGTACTTTCCCTGAGCTTACTGACTTTATTCAGTCACACCTAGCCTGAAAGTGTTGACATCTGAAGCTGCAGCTCTTTCTGCTCAGGACTGGGACAGACTGAGCGCAGTCTGAGGCAGTCACAATGTTGGGGTGTACACAGTGAGGGAGGGGGGTAGATTGTCTTGGCCATTTACCCTATGACACACGACGTACACCGCTGTGACAACATCCCATTTGTTCTTCAGTTGGTGCGTTGCCTGGAGCTTCTCCTCGAAGAGTTCCGACTCCTTGTTCTCTGCGACAAAACTCCGGACTGTCCTGATCCCGGAAACAATCTCTCCGGCCAGTTGGTTTGACTCGGCGATGGAGTCCTGCACCTCCTGGACCCAGTTTATGTGTATAATACAAAACACAGCATTCAGTCACAATCCGACTTGTGGTAGTCTGATGATTCTCCATGCCTTTCACTGGAACTATGTGTGAAGATTTAGTTGGGGTACAGACTGGGTCCTGGAGATATCAATCACACTGCAGCAACACAGGTTTGAAGATATGGTCACTTCATTTACAGCAAGGATGTAACTCCACCGACAAGGATACAGGGGAGATTTGCCAGGATTGGAAGGGTGCTGCAATGAGGAAAGATTGGATAGGCTGGGAATGCTGTATGCACCTTCAGTGCTGTAACCTGCAGGGATACAAACTGATTGATAGGAAATGGGATTAGCTCAATCATTGGCTGGCACAGATTAATTAATAATATTAAGATTAATTAATTAATCTCCACAAAAATTAACATCCCATTAATACTAAAGAATACAGGGAAGGAATTAAAGTATTATCACCGTCCCAACAGAAGAAGTATTAGACAAACTAATAAATTACTAAAGGCAGATAAGTTCCCTGACCCTGATAGCTTGCATCCCGGGTTCCCAAAAGACATAACCACAGAGATTGTGGATGCATTGTTGTAATTTTCTAAAAATCTGGAAAACTGCCAATATGACACGCCTATTCAAAAAGGGAAGGAGGCAAAAAGCAGGTCACTATAGGCCAGTTAGACCAACATCTATTGTTGAAAGTGTGTTAGAATCAATTATTAGGGAAGTAATAGCAACACATTTGGAAAATCATAGCGTAATCAACCAGAACCAACGTGGCTTCATGAAAGGGAAACCAAGTCCGAGTGATTTTTTGGAGTTTTTGAAGTCTCAACCAGAGTGGAATGAGGGGACATAGATGCATTATATTTCAACTTCCAGAAGATGCTTGACAAGACACTTCACAAAAGGTTAAGTATTAACATCCCACAGTGTGGTAAGTAGTATATTAGCTTGGATACAGAATTGGCTTATGGGCAGGAAACAGCGAATGGGGATAAGGTTTTCTTTTTCAGGTTTGGTTACCCGTAATCAGTCGGGTTCCACAGGGATCAGTGCTGGGACTGCAACTGTTTACAATATAGATTAATGTCTTGAAGGAAGGACATGAATGTACTGTAACCAGATTTGCAGACGACACAAAAATAATCAGAAAGGCAGATTGTGAGACAGCTTACAGAGAGGTATTGATAGGTTAAGTAAGTGGGCAAAAAGTTGGAGTATGATGTGGGAAAATGCAAAGTTGTTCATTTTGGAAGGGAGAACAAAAGAACAGTATATTTAAATGGAGAGAAACTGCAGAAAGCTGCAGGGACATGTGGGGACTTGTGCATGAAACAGAGAAAACTAGCACACAGCAGCAGGTAATCAGGAAGGTTAATGAAATGTTGGCCTTTATTTCAAAGGTTGGAGTGAAAGAGTAGGGAAGTCTCACTCCAATTAAACAAGGTGCTGGCAAGACTACACCTGGAGTACTGAGAGCAGTTTGGTCCCCTTATTTAAGGAAAGATATCATTTCATTGGAAGTTCAGAGAAGGTTCACTAGAATGAACCCTGGTATGGAGGGACTGTGTTAAGAGATAAGGTTAAACAGGTTTGGACTCTAGGTGGATTGGCCATGCTAAATTGCCCATAGTGTCCAGGGATAATTAGGTTAAGGTGCGTTAGCCATGGGAAATGCAGAGTTACAGAACAGGGTAGGGGGGGTGGGTCTGGGTGGGATGCTCTTCGGAGAGTTGGTATGGACTTATTGGGCCGAATGGCCTATTTCCATACTGTAGGGATTCTGTTCTACTCGCTGCAGCTTAGAAAAATTAGAGGTGATCTCATTAAAAATCCTCTATGTTTCAATGGGCTTGACAGGGTAAATGCTGAGAAAATGTTTCCTCTCATGGGAGAGTCTACGAATGCGGGGGAAACAGGCACCAATTTAAGACTGCGATGAGGAGGAATTTATTTTCTAAAACAATGTGGTGAGCTCCTTGCCACACAGAGCTGTGGTGGCAGAGTCCTGGTGTACATTTAAGGCTGAGATAAATAGATTCATGATCAGTCGGGGAATCAAGGGTTATGGGAAAGGCCAGGAAAGTGGACATGAAAAAGATCAGTCATGATCCTATTGAATGGGAGAGCAGTCTTGAGGGGCTGAATGGTCTACTCCTGTTCCTATTCCTTATGGTCTTTTTTTTAAAAAAAGGTGGCCTTTATTTTTAAAAACACGTGGTCTACGATTCAACATTAATAAAGGCCATGAGGAGGTGGGAAAAGTAATTAAATACGAGGTTCGTTTCTCGAGGGAAGGATTTGAAAAATGTTTTGTTAAACTTGAACGTAACCTTCTTTAGTTGTACTGGACCCGTAATACTCTGAACAATTTCACTCGCTGTATTATACAAGAGGATTCAGAGGCGCTGGAAACAGTTCAAAAGAGATTGTCCAGGACAGTACCAGGACTAAGATGTTAACACCTGATGAAAATGGGCTCTTTACTCAACAAAGGAAAGGATTAGAGACAGTCAGATAGAGAGAGAGGTCTCCAAGATTCTGAAAAAAAATTACACAGTGGATATCATGAAGATATTTCCCCTTGAGACCAGAACAAGGGCCAATAAATACGAGATTATCATTAATTTAATTTCTCTGGTCAGAATATAGAACTGGTGAACACAACTTGTCAGTAATGAGTTACTTTTAGGCAGATAATCAATGGATATTTAAGGGAGATTGTAATAGCTGGATATAAGGATACAGGAAATAGGAACAGAAGGGGCCATTCAGCCCATCAAAGCTAATTCTCCATTCAATACGATCATGACTGATTTACTTCAGTACTACTCTGTTGCAAATCCCTGTATCCCATGGTATCTTTAATCTGTAGAAATCCATCAAACTCTGTCTTGAACATACTCAGTGACTGGGCCTCCACTGTTCTGTGATACAATATTTGAAAGATCATAACCCTCTGAGTGAAGACCTTCCTCCTTGTCTCATTGCTTGTCTCAGAGGGCTCGTCTACTGAGGTAATATGGGCTGAGGTTAGAAACAGGAAAGGAGAGGTCACCCTGTTGGGAGTTTTCTATAGGCCTCCGAAAAGTTCCAGAGATGTAGAGGAAAAGATTGCAAAGATGATTCTGGATAGGAGCGAAAGTAACAGGGTAGTAGTTATGGGGGACTTTAACTTTCCAAATATTGACTGGAAACGCTACAGTTCGAGTACTTTAGATGGGTCAGTTTTTGTCCAATGTGTGCAGGAGGGTTTCCTGACACAGTGTGTAGATAGGCCAACAAGAGGCGAGGCCACATTGGATTTGGTACTGGGTAATGAACCAGGCCAGGTGTTAGATTTGGAGGTAGGTGAGCACTTTGGTGATAGTGACCACAATTCGGTTACGTTTACTTTAGCGATGGAAAGGGATAGGTATATACCGCAGGGCAAGAGTTATAGCTGGGGGAAAGGCAACTATGAGGCGATGAGGCAAGATTTAGGATGCATAGGATGGAGAAGGAAACTGCAGGGGCTGGGCACAATTGAAATGTGGAGCTTGTTCAAGGAACAGCTACTGCGTGTCCTTGAGAAGTATGTACCTGTCAGGCAGGGAGGAAGTGGTCGAGCGAGGGAACCGTGGTTTAGTAAAGAAATTGAATCTCTTGTCAAGAGGAAGAAGGAGGCTTATGTAGAGATGAGGCGTGAAGGCTCAGTTAGGGCGCTTGAGAGTTACAAGTTAGCCAGGAAGGACCTAAAGAGAGAGCTAAGAAGAGCCAGGAGGGGACATGAGAAGTCTTTAGCAGGTAGGGTCAAGGAAAACCCTAAAGCTTTCTATAGGTATGTCAGGAATAAAAGAATGACTAGAGTAAGATTAGGGCCAGTCAAGGACAGTAGTGGAAAGTTGTGCGTGGAATCCGAAGAGATAGGAGAGGCGCTAAATGAATATTTTTCGTCAGTATTCACACAGGAAAAAGACAATGTTGTCGAGGAGAATACTGAGATACAGGCTATTAGACTAGACGGGATCGAGGTTCATATGAAGGAGGTGTTAGCAATTCTGGAAGGTGTGAAAATAGATAAGTCCCCTGGGCCGGATGGGATTTATCCTAGGATTCTCTGGGAAGCTAGAGAGGAGATTGCAGAGCCTTTGGCTTTGATCTTTATGTCGTCATTGTCTACAGGAATAGTGCCAGAAGACTGGAGACTAGCAAATGTTGTCCCCTTGTTCAAGAAGGGGAGTAGAGACAACCCTGGTAATTATAGACCAGTGAGCCTTACTTCGGTTGTGGGTAAAGTGTTGGAAAGGATTATAAGAGATAGGATTTATAATCATCTAAAAAGGAATAATTTGATTAGGGATAGTCAACACGGTTTTGTGAAGGGTGGGTCGTGCCTCACAAACCTTATTGAGTTCTTTGAGAAGGTGACCAAACAG